TTTTAAGAAGAGTGACAAGACAATTTACCAGTTGTCCTCTCGGGTCATACCACGTTAAAAATGGCCAAAAACTATAAAATTCGATACTAAAAATGATTAGCATCGTCTATGTCACATTCGAGGGCATAGATTGTCCTTCATGCTCTTCATAGGGACTATCAAATCTTCTCATTTTCCTCTCTCAGGCTCAAATATTAGAAGAAGATAAATATTCCCATGTCAAGGGAAGCGCACCAGGGAGAAATTCACACACAAATTGCAGAAAAAATCACAAGACATACACAGAAATAGTGCAATAATCTTATCTTTTTCTTTTATTCTTCTCCAATTTTTTCCTTTATCATTTTCAATGTAATCCTTCTTTCCCCCTACCTCTGATATACAATTTCTCGTGTTGTTCTATACAAACTATGATATGCTTGGGAGATGGTTTAGATACCTCAGCCAGACGCAACAGCAATAAATAAACATATATCTTGCACCTCCCATGGAAAATTTCATATAGCTGGCATGTATTATGGCGTGCTTGGAAGATGGCATGAGTATCTCAAACTCCGATGTGATGCGAGAGCATTTTGTAAAGCAACATCCACTCTTCCACCACCCTGAAACAGTGAATCGTACAAGGCACAGACGAACTGTGACAGTTCCTTCTCATCATCATCCCAAAAGGGCATGGAACGTTCTCCATTTTTCTCGGGTTCACTATCTTCCCAATCACTGGTTGGACTGGCGGCATCTGCCTCTTCATCTTCTGCTTCCTCCTCCCCAATCTCAAATTTCCCATTCTCAAAAGTACTAAACTCACCTGAACCATATAATGATGTCAACTGTGTCTCTTCAGGCTCAGAAGAAGGGCATACTACAGCTTTGGCACCAGAATCTAGAAATGCTTTAGTTAAAGCTCTGATGGGCCCATATATTCCCGTGAAGATTATAATTCTGTCCTTCCAAGATCCGATCTGGGAGGTTCAAACAGAATAAGATTACAAATAGAAACAACTTAAATCTAACATTTGACTGTATTTTTCCGACTTCGAACATGCTACAGATGGGAAAAAACAAGAAACGTATTAAATCCTGCTTTAGAATCTTAAAGAAAATCAGCATCCCAATATACAAGCATACTCCAATTGCAAGGAAAGAATAACAGCACTCCCGGAACCATGAAACACCTTTACAGAGATGGTAATCAAATGGTGCA